CTCTCAACCCCTCTGGCCGTGGGCGGAATAGAGGCCGGGGTCTGCCAGATGGTGGTGGCGTTCGCCTGGATCGTGCGGATCAGCGGTAATGCCACCCTGGATGGAGCATCCGCTGAAATGATCTGCACGATGGGATCATGGACCTCCGCAATCTCCTCCACCTGGAGGTCCATATTGCGAGCCATGCGGCGCAGCAGGTCCTGGTGGGCCCGAAGGTCTATGGGAGGCGGCCCAATGGCGGATGTGCCCGCTACGGCCTCATCAGGCGAGGACGAGGAGGATGCCCCCGGTGACAAAGGGTCCAATGGTTGGTCCTGCTCCAGGTGTTCCTGGAGTTGGGCATCGCCTGCCCCCAGGTCCAGCGCCTCTGCTGGTGCGGGCGCTGGCGCCTCCACTTCCCTTGGAGGAGGGCGGGAGATGGTGGACTCTGGGGCCCTAGGCTCCGAACGGCCCGAGCGGGAGGCAGATAGCGGAGCTCCTTGTGCCTGATGGTAGGCCCAAGGAGTCCAGAAGGACCAATGCGCAGGCCCTTGCATAGGGTCGTCGGTCTCCTGCAGGTGGCCGGCCTCCGCTGCCTCAGATGATCGCGACGCCGATCTCGACGGCCACGGCGGTGCCGAACCCGACGCCGTCGGTATCGGATGGTACGGTGCCGATCGGTGCCGGTCGTAAGGCGATCTGCCCCTGTGCGGTGCCGGAGAGCGGTGCCGGGATCTGGAGCGGTGCCGGTAGTCCCTCCGGTGCCGGGATCCCGACCTGGAACGGGACAACGATCTGGAGGAGGCGTGGTACCGGGAGCGGCCTCTCGAGCCCGAGTGGCGCTCATACCGGTGCCGGGAGCTGCGTCTCGAGCCCGATCGGTGCCGGTCGTCTCGACGGTGCCGGGATGTTGAACGGCGCCGCGAAGAGGATCTGGGCCGCGAGTACGACCGGTGCTGAGGTGATATTCGGCGCCGGGACTCAGAGCGGCGTCAGGACCTACTCCGGGATCTGGAGCGGTGCCGAGAGACTCGTGCTGGCGACGGTGGGCACACCAGGGCAGGTTTTCCCCTGGACTGCAGGACGCGTGGAGCCACCGGTGCCGGGAGTTGTGACGGCGCCGGCTCCGTGAGGGCGATCAAGTCTCTCGCCGTAGCGAAGGTCTCCGGGGTGGAAGGGAGACAAGGTTCCACCACCAGCCTTGGTGGTGAAACAGTCCGCACCGGACTCAACGGCCTCGGTGCCGGAGTCGACGGTGTGGCCGCCTGTCTTTGGCGGTCCAACTGCGGACGCGGCTCTACCCCCGGCACCGGGGGAGCCGGTATCTTCGCGGCAGCAACGTCCCGCGCCTTGCCGGCCTTCTTATGGCCCGGAGAAAGGGATCGGCGCCGAGGTTCTTTAGGCGGGCGCGGTGCCGACGTCGGTCGGTGCCGAGCAGTTTTTTCCGCCGCACCGGTTGGGCCCGCCGGGGCGCTGCGCACCGAAGCGCTCGGTGCCGGGACAGGGCGCGCCGAGGGAGGATCCGGACTCAGAGCCGCCTCCATCAGGAGCTGACGGAGTCTAAAGTCCCGCTCCTTTCTTGTCCTTGGCTTGAAGGCCTTGCAAATAGGGCACTTATCTGCTGGATGAGCCTCTCCAAGGCACTTCAAGCAAGAACTATGCGGGTCGCTGGTTGGCATATGCTTCCCGCAGGACGCGCACGGCTTAAAGCCAGGAGCCTTGGGCATGGGCCCGGCTGTGCGCCGGGGGGAAAAGGGGAAAAACACCCCCTAAACCCCTGATAACAATATACAACTATATATATACACACTATACACTAACTAACTAACTAACTTGAACAACTATCTATATAACTAACTATAACAAGAGCAATGAGAAGCTAGGGAGTGTGGAGATCAGCTAAGCCGCGCTCCACAGTTCCAACGACCGTCAGGGGCGGTAAGAAGGAACTGAGGGGGCGCTGGGTCGGCTGGGGTATATATCCAGCGCCATAACGGCACCACTCTAGGGGGCTCCACAGCCGACCCACCGGGTGTTGCTAGGGTAAAAATCTTCCGACGATCGTGCACGCGGCGCGCACACACCTAACTGGAATGGATATGAGCAAGCACTCGAAGAAGAACTCTTGGTTCTAATGCAGTTACTTCAGAAATACACGGGTGATCTGAATCTAGGGTGGCCAGACAGCAAATGTGAAAAATTGGGATGGGGGTGGGGGGGGGGTAATAGGAACCTATATAAGAAAAAGACCCAAAAATCGGGACTGTCCCTATAAAATCGGGACATCTGGTCACCCTATCTGAATCTGGCCCAGCAGACGTTATTAGCTAACTTTTGAGTGCACTTTGATGTTTCCTCTTTACTATTCAAGCTGCGTTTTCCCCTTGCATTTCAGAGATGATTGTTTTCTAAGCTTATGCAGAATAGAAAATAAAGCATCTGATTCTTGCTCCCCTTTCTGGTAGGTTTGATGTGATAGGAAAAGCAGCTTCTGCACAGACTGCTGTGGGTATAAAGCACCTTGCAGTTCTTGTTAGTTCTGTGAAAGTCACTGTTCTATCATCCAGATTCCTTGTGCTACATCTGGCCCCACTCTCTTCTCTGTCGGACTAGTTTACAGCTCCTGGAAGCCTTCCTCAGGTGTCACAATTTTCACAAAAGGCTTTGGTTATTTTGTGGGTTTTAGGGAAAGAGGGGCAGCTGCAAGTTTGAGGGAAGATGGAAGCATTCCCTGAAAGCTCTTCTCCCTGCTTTTCTGGATTTATCCTGCTTCCCCCTTGCTTTGCTTCCCTCAAGGCTGTATAATGGTGAGAATGACAAAGACTGTTTGCCTCTGCTCCTCCAAATACAATTATTCTTTATCCTATGCTCTGAAACAAATGGTAGTGAGTATAATATAATAGGTATATCTCCATATTATCTTATCTCAGAGACTGGAAGGGACCCTGAAAAGTCATCGAGTCCAGCCCCCTGCCTTCACTAGCAGGACCAAGTACTGATTTTTGCCCCAGATCCTTAAGTAGCCCCCTTAAGGATTGAGCTCACAACCCTGGATTTAGCAGGCCAATGCTCAAACAACTGAGCTATCCCTCTCCCAAGAATGAATGATCTTGTAGTTAAGAGGCCAGACTGTCACTCAGATGATCTGGGTTCAATTCTCAGTTTTATCACAGATTGCTTGTATGTGACTTTGGCCAAAGCATTTAATCACACTCTGCTTCAATTCCCTTCTGCTGATACTACTACACAGTACCTTTCCCTCAGCTGTTGTCTAGCAACTCTTCAGTAGTCACAGGTTGCAGCAGGGTTTCTGTTCACAGCTGATTTTTCTAAGTACTCTAAAATCCCCATACATAGGCAGAGTGCCTTGAAACTTACTGTGCCACAGCAAGGGTAGGAGTAGAGTTTGTGGCACAAGTTTGGGGTCATTTGCCCAAGGGGTTACCAACATACAGGTCTCCTCCCAACATAATCTGGTATAAAACTGCCCTTATGTGCCCACAGATTGAGTGCAAAGGAGAGAGGGAACATGAAGTATCTGGTACTAGGATGCCACTCTGAAAATCCATTAATAAAAAACTTGGCTGGTTTACCCAAGTTGAAGGTGTCATTAGGATCCAAACCAGTGAGACCAAGTTTGTCAGGGTTGAGCATCCAGTTCTGAAGGAGTACACAGATGAAATTACCATGGTGCTATTTGAGAGGCCCCCATGGGTCTGGGTGTACAGAAGAGAAAGGATGTAAAACAGAATAAAGAGGAAACAACTCCTCTGGAGAAACGTGTTATTACACAATCAAACATCTAGTCTTGTCATGAGGTACTAAGAAAGGCATCTGAGCTCAAGGATGGCTTCAGAATTGGTGTGTCAGTACTAGGTGAGGAGTAGGCACTATGGTTACCGAGGCTTCTGCCACTTTAAAAGGCTATGCCAGTTTGTTCTTCAATGTTGCTTTAGATTTAACCAATACCAGATTGTGCAGGGTGAGGGATTGCCTTGCAGGTTAGGGCTAAAGAGATGATCGAAGGTAGTGCTGAGACCAGACTGGTAAAGTGTCTCTTGGGTCCTGTGTAAGAGAAGCTCTGCACAGAGGCTGGTGTTGGTACCATCAATGGGCCCATTGGAAGATCTCCCCCTTTAGGTGCAGGAGTAAAGGTGTCTCAAAAATAGTACATAAGATTACTGAGTGATCTAAAGATGGGATTCTGTCTCCAGTATTATCAATGGGTAAGAGGTACACCTCTTGAAGGCCTTAGGGGTTTCAGGCTGGACATAATCCAGGTAAAGTACTAAGGTCTCCTAGGACAATGGAAGGGCTGCTTACACTAAACAAGCCTATGCTACTCTAAACTATTTAGAGAGCTGAAAGCTAGGCTTGAGAAAATATAGTCCCGAGGCCACAAAGGTTCATTCCATTCACCCTCTGCAGTGACCATGAAGGAGCAATAGCCATGGGGTCATATCCCTTATGGAGAATAGCGTATCTCCCTCGTGAAAGAGAGCTCATGACACAGCTTTTCAAAGTAGTTACAGAGCCTGACATGTCACAGCCCACAAGTTGTGAATACAGAGAGGGCCTTAGAGGGTTTTTCCTCATTTCCTGGTTTTCCAGCAGTTGGATTTTTGGAATTTAACTTGTGTTCTGGAAAGGCATGAGGAACACAGAGCGCACTCTACAACCTTAACCCTACATTAAAGGGTTTTTGCATGTGAATTTATATTTAAGCTCTGTAAGGCAGAGACTGTCTTACTGTGTATATGCACAGCATCTAGTACAATGGGGACCCTGACCCCCAAGACAATACTGTAGTTCAAGTAAATTGCCAGGAGATGGTAAATGAGAAATATTTTGCAGTGTCTCTTTGCTAGCTTTAATTAAAAAAGGTAAACAAAAACTTGCCATGTCCCCTTAGATTAATTAACTTGAGTTTTTGGGGTGTGGAGTAGCAGCAAAAGAAGGTGCTCTACTCTGATCATTGACACACAAATCTGCTTCTAAAATCATTTTTTTGTTTGTTTTAGGTATGAGTAATGCTGATGTGATGGTTGCTCTTCAGCGTGGGTACCGCATGCCACGCATGGAAACCTGCCCAGCTGAGCTTTATGATATCATGAAAACATGCTGGAAAGATAAAGCAGAAGAGAGGCCAACATTTGATTATTTACAGAGTGTGCTAGATGATTTCTACACAGCAACAGAAGGGCAGTATCAACAGCAGCCATAAAACAAAGGAACACTTTGCCAGTTGGCATAGACCATTGTTCGGACAAACTGGGCAGACCAGTTATTTCATGTATTTGGATATCCTGACCAATTGTGGCTTCTGAAACTGGAGGCTGAAACTCCACAGGAAGAATCATTCTGCCTAGAAATAAACCATGTTTTTCTATGGTTAATTTAATTTGAATGATCACTCTGCTTGAGGTTAGGAGTTTTCTTTAGATGTTATCTTTTTATTTGCCTAAATAAACATCCAAACAAGACAAGCTTTGAAAACAAAGACAGAGTGCAGTCGCACCAATACAGACTTACAAAGCATTTGAAGCTGCAAACAGAATTTGGGGAAATCTCTAAATGATAGTATGCCTTACAAGAAAATGTATGAAGTCTGAAGATAAATGTGAACAATTTATGAATGGAAAAGTTAAAGAATTTCTGCTCCCAAATTAGCTTTTTGAAAGATAGCACATCATGAAAGTCGTGCTTTGTATTTTTATAGCCTCTGGTTATCTTACATCAGTATCTGGAGAACAGTATCTTGTTGCAAGATTCAAATATTTAGGATGTAATCATCCTCTTTAAGAAAGGGTTAAAGGTAATTTTTACACTTAATTTAATTCTCTTTGGCATCTATGCACAACCCAAGCATTTACACTGTTAAGGTTTGAAAAGTGGCTTTTACAGGCACCAAGGTAAGAATAAGACCTGCAATATTGTGAAATTGCATTATTGTGCTCAATGTGTCAGAAAAAAAAAAGACAGCATATTGTCTTGCTCTGCATATAGATCACCATGAATTTAAGCCTGGAATCACCTGCTCAAAATTCATTTTTTCCCCTGGGTTAAGTCAGTGGCAAATCTCCCCTATATTTTGAAGGGAGCAGGATCTGGCCCTCAGTAGTTTGAAACACTGTGATCCATTTATTACCCATGAAAATGCTTTCTATAAGTATCTTAATAGGAATTTTAGAGTGATTCAGTAATTTATTCCTAACATTTTTGCTGTTTCAATTAATTGAACTGAAAGACATTTTAAAGATTAGCCAAAATGAATGTTTTAAAATGCACCACACCTTATAAGCATATTGTAATCAGTGAAATTACACTGAAGTGAGTGTTAGCACCCTGGTTTTGCTTTTCAGTATGTAATTATTACTAATTCATAACCAACAGTTAAAAACCATGACTGATTTACTTGTTAAAGGGTACTTACGGAAGCTTTAAAAGAGGCTAACTACTGGTGAGGCTTTAGTGTACCTGCAGTCCAAACATAGTTATCAGTATAGACATTCATTGCTTTTCTTTTTTAGTAAAGCATAGCAGGTTTCTGAATGAAGGAAGTCAGTCAATGTGCAGATTAACCACCACAGACTGTGTAAATATTTTTACTGTATGGTGATTTTTTATTTTAATAAACAAACTCTTTAAATTTAAAACTTGTACCATTGTAGTTTGTCCTTCAAATTACAATAAATAGCCAATTTTATAGGCCAGGCTGACAGTTTTCTGTGTACAAGGAATGCAGGATCAGACCCTGTCAGTGTTCAGATGCTATACAAAACAAAAAGTTTTTAGTTAACATCGCTTAAATGAATCTTGCCTCTTTTATACCCGTTCATCTCAAGACAGCCATTTCACTGCTGAATATTTTAGCAGAAATATCCAGCTAAGTGGTTCTTATCCTACAATTCTGAAGTACCCACCACAGTAGTAAATTCCAAAATATCTTCAAAATAGCTGCTAAAACCTCACTCTTCTGCAGTGCCAGTAGGCACCACCATTTACTGAGACATTTAGGAAAGCCTGAACACGTGCAAAATTTAAGTTAGCATTTGGAAATGTGAAGTCATCTTAGTTGCAGAAAAAGTCTAGGAGCCATACATTGAGTCACATTATTATGTGCTTGCAGAGCTTGTGCAGCACTGAGAAATGCAGGTGTGCTGAACTGTACTCTGTTACTTGTTCAAAACATAGGTGAGAGATGGAAGCATGTTTGGTTTAACTTAAGCCATATTTTATGTAATGTTTGGGGAGGGGGGGGGGAAATGATACAGACTGAGCTTTGTCTAACCTGAAATCTATTGACTGGGGTTTATCAAGCTCCCTATTTATGTTACCAGATTACTGTAATAAACCAAAATATTTAAAATGAGAACCTCCATTTATTATCCTAATTTCTGATCTTGTCCTGAGTGCCCATGATGGACATAAGGTGATCTGGCTGGATATTCGGTTTAAGGACTGAGCTAGAGATTGATCCAGATGGCGTTCAATCTGCAAGAAGGCTGTTTCTTTGGAATTTGCCATGGTTGTGATGAGTCCATTTATAAACCAGTGGACACCTGTTTTGATAGGACAAATAACCCCATTGGATATTGCTTTTTGGGAGAGTACCTGGTGCTTCTGAGATCAGAAAATCTCAATTCCTAGTGGAATTTACATATTTATATGAAGTCCCTGAGTACACATTGGTGTGAGTTTTAACAGACAAAGACTCACTTAACCAGTTAGGAGTATTTGATACTGACAAAGGAAAGAGGAAATTTCAAGACCAGGGCTTTGAATTACAGGAACATGATAGTGTTGCAATAGTAATGCTGCTCCATCTAGTGGTTCACAATGTTAGTGACAACCTCTAACTCAGGCCTGGTCTACATTTTAAAACGTAGGTCGACAATCACAGCGTTCAGGGGTGTCAAAAATCCACACCCCTGACCACCCTAGCTATGCCAACCTAGCCCCAGTGTAGATGCAGCCACGTTGACAAAAGAATGCCTCTCCACCTAGCTACTGCCACAAAGGAACGTAGAGTTCTTACAGCAATTAAAAATAAAAAAAAACTTGTCACTGTAGGCTGCCTCTATAGTACAGGATTATGCCATTGTAGTCCCTGTAAATATGGCCTCAGTCAGGTGGTGGTTTTTTTGGTTTGTTTTTTGAGGTGTATAAACTTCACCACCTCTAATCTTTGTACTCCAAATATAGGCTCCTATGTTTTGCAAGCCTAGGTTTCTCTGACCACAAGAATGCACACCACTCACCTAACTCTCCAACTATTCAGCTTCCCTTGCTTGAAACCCTGTTTCATGACTTAATTGTAATGTATTGCTTAATTCCTACATAATCCACCTGCTGCATAATTTAGCAACTCAGATAATACATTCATAGTTAGGGGGTAAGGCTAAATCCCAAAACACTATTTACATCCACCACCATCCCCAGACACCAAAATATCACTTTGATCATTTCTAGTTTTCTGTGTGGCACTGCTTGAAAGCTGAGAACTTGCCGAAAACCCTCTTACATTTCTCATGGGTTCCTATACGTAGCTGTGTAATGCTGACAATATAGCACAACAAAATCAGCCACCATTAAACCATGCAAAGGCAATTGCTCAATGCCTACAACCTTGTGACTGGCACACATTTCTGAAGTAAATGCATCTGACGAAGTGGGTATTCATCCACGAAAGCTTATGCTCCAATATGTCTGTTAGTCTATAAGGTGCCACAGGACTCTGTCGCTTATTTCTGAAGTAGTTATCCTATCATCTGACTAAAATTACTCAACTCTTTCTGGTTATAATCACCAGGCAGTCCTAGCCCCACTACATTTCTAAACAAAGTTTTCTTAAGAAGATGAGGTACTGGCCCTCTTGATCCTAAACTTTGATTTCAAGTGCATCATATTTTAATAGAAACAAAAGTTAAGACACGCAGGGACTTGCAGCTCAAATTATCAAGTTGTATCTCATGACCTAATCACTGTAACACCAAATCTTAAATGATCTAATATTTAATTGACTTGAAAAAACCCAAGCTTTATTATAAGTAAAATTTTAAGAAGACTACTGCATACACAATTCAGTGAAGGATTTTCAAATGGACATTCCTTTCCAAAGGAAGACAATTATGATTGACAGAAGCATTTAAAATGAACAATGGCTCCTTGCCACTCCATCATCTGACTAGATCATTAAATGAAATCTTAGTACCAAATCTCTCATTTTAATTCCACAGTAAACTGACATCAAGTATAAGATTACTAGTTCAATTCAAATCAAGCAGAAGATTAACTGCGAGGAAGCCAGCTCCTCTACAAACAGTATCTACTAGCTAATGAAACAGTGAAAGTGAACAAGCGGTTTGGTCGAACGCAAATGCCATTTTGAGTGTTGGAAGCAAGTGTAAAAAGAAAAAGGAAAGTAAAAGACAGGAATGTACCACTAACCTTGACACAAGGCACCCTTTCTCCTGTTATATGGAAATCCATACCTGCTGTGTTGCCACAGCAGGTGATCACATCTCACACCAACAGTTGCACAAGAATCCCAATTTATGTTTACATTTACATGTTGTCTTTAGTAACTAAAGACGACATGTAAATGTCTAGTTACTAAAGAAGACACTTAGAAGGAAAGTTGTCATTCCTATTAATAGCTTATCTTCCCAGTTACATTGATGGTAAGGCTGTGTCTATACTACCCTTTTTTCTCCACCCAAATTCCAACTGTTGCTAACATCAGTTCAAAATTACAGCTGATGGGCCTTGTCAATACAGACATGTTAATGCATCAAGGATTAGAGTTATTCTTTTACTTTACGTGTAAAAGTAGCTTGTTTTCTTGACATAGTTGGAGAGTCTTCAGATTTCCCCAAGGTTTTGCCAACAGGTGTTTTAGAAGTGTCTGCTACTGTAGATTTTAGATTAGCAAACAAGCCTCTCTTGGGTTTTTGCTTCTTAAGATCTTCTGAATACAAGTGCTTTTTGCTCTCATCTAGTTCTTCTTGCAGAAGAGACACTGTCGCTTCAAGCTCAAGGACACGTTTAGCCCAGTTCTGAAGACTTCTCATTTCTTGTTCCTATGGAATTGTTAAACCACATTAGATAAGTGAACACTAGCGGATGGTACTATTATTTTGTTCATTTTCTCCAAGTAAAATTTAGAGTGAGATCAGGGTGCTATATAGTAGAACTGTGCAAATACATTGATTTTTTTGGTTTGCTGGCAATCTTAAGATCAGCCATAATAGGTCAGACCAATGGTCCATCTAACCCAGTATCCTGATTGGCCAGGTGCTTCGGAAGGAATGAACAGAACAGGCAATAGAGTGATTCACCCCCTCTTGTCCACTCCTAGCTTCTGGCAGTCAGAGGCTCAGAATGCCCAGAGCATAGATTACATCCCTGACCATCTTGGATAATGGCCATTGAGGTACCTATCCTCATGAACTTATCTAGTTCTTTTTTGAACCCCTTTATAGTTTTGGCCTATACAGCATCCCCTGGCAACGAGTGCCACAGGTTGACTGTGTGGTATGTGAAGAAGTACTTCCTTATGTTTGTTTTCAACTTGCTGCCTATTCATTTCATTGGGTGACTGCTGGTGGTTATGTGAAAGAAACTTCTTCACCTTTTCTATACCATTCACGATCGTATAGACGACTATCATATCCCTGCTTAGTCATCTCTTTTCCAAGCTGAAAAGTCCCAGTCTTTTTAATCTCTCCTCATATGGAAGCTGGTCCATATCCTTAATAATTTTTGTTGCTCTTCTCAGTACCTTTTCCAATTCTAATAGATCTTTTTTAAGATGGGGTACCAAACTACACACACTATGAAAGGTTTGGGTGTACCATGGATTTATATAGTGACATTGATATTTTGTGTCTTATCTATCCAACCCTTTGCTAATAGTTCCTAACATTGTTAGCTTTTTTGATTGCCACTGCACATTGAGCAGATATTTTCAGAGAACTAGTCACAATGACTTCAAGATCTTTCCCGAGTGGGGATCTAAGTTATTTGTTAGCAAAACTCTACATTTTGAAAAACACCATTTTATATGGAAAGTAATGCACATATCAGCACTGAATTTCATCTGCCATTTTGTTGCCCACTCACCCAGTCTAGTGAGATCCCTTTTTAACTCTTCGCAGTCTGCTTTGAATTCACAAAATTACTCAAGATAAGAGTCTGCAAATTTTGTCATCTCACTATTTACCCCTTTTTCCCGATCATTTATAAATATGTTGAACAGCACTGGTCCCAGTACGGATCCCTGGGGGACAATGCTATTTGCCTTTCTCTATTCTGAGAGCTGACCATTTATTTCTGGTCCATGAGAGGACCTTCCCTCCTAACCAAGCACAGCTTACTGTACTTAAGAGCCTTTGGTGAGGGACCTTGCCAAAGGCTTTCTGAAAGTCTTAGTACACTATAGTCACGTTTGGTGACCCCCTCAAAATTCTAATAGCTTTGTGAAGCATGATTTCCATTTACAAATCGTGTTCCTCTGTCTGATAATTTGGTTCTTCACTATAGTTTCAACCAATTTGCCTATCAGACAAAATATTTTGTCTTACCCAAAACAACACTGTTTGCATTTAGTGTTTAAGGTTTTTTTTTTTTTTTTTTTTTTAATTTTATGAAATTTTTAATCATTTTTTTTTTAAAATTTTTTTTTCTCCCCCCCCCCTCCCACTTTTTAAAAGTGTCAAAATGACTGATTTTTTTCAAGTTTTGTTTCTCCTTCCACTAATTATTTGGCAAAAACAACATGAATTCACAAAGTGTTTCAGTGTTGCCAAATCTGCATTTTCTGCTAAAGAAGTTTTGGCTGAAAAATTTTACCTACTCTACTGTACAGGCAATTATATTTGAAGAAAAATGGGCAAAGGCCATTAGCCAAAATTTAACTTAAAGTTTTGGCAGTATTGAGACATTAAATTACATTGTCACAAACACATGCAATACCACCTCAGAAACTAAATAGAGCAAGATGCCTGAATACCACATTTGGTATGCTAATTAACTTCAGTTTCCAATTTAGGTCTATATTTGACCCATTAAGACAAGAAACTCAAAATATTGGGGAAGTAAGGATCACAGGATCTTTATTCCTTAGGTATTCATCTGCTCCTGTTTCAATTTCAAACCTAGAGTCAGAATTCTCTCCACAACAACTAATTACAGCATAATTTTGTTTGACTTTAGACTGGAATAAGATATAGATCATCAAGGAGAAGTTCCTGTTTTTATGTAAGTGTTCAAGTAGTAAGAAAGGGGAAGGTAGTTTTCAAAGTGTTTTCCATGTGGCATAAATCAGTCGCCAAGTTCAACCCAGGTTGTTACTATCTAAATTGGCTATTCAATGGCCAAGAAATGGATTATTGGGCCCAGTGCAATTCCTACATAGCAGATATTTGACCACAGAGAACCACAATGGCATCAAAATTGGTCAATGATGTTTCTGGTTCTTATGGTTACAACAAAAGCCTTTTAAATGTGAACTGATGTATCCAAATCCCAGAATAAAAACTGAAGGGACTGAGCTACCCCAGTGAAATGAATGGGCTATAAACTCAAGGCCAACGCATGTAAATTGCATAATTTAATGCTCACATGGGCTAAAAGCAAAAAGCTCAGTAGTCCTAGAAGTATCTTGCATTGTTTTTATCTGTCCCTTCCAAACCCAGCGGCCAAATTCAAAAGGTAGCAGTATTAATTTAGTTGCTATCCAAAGAACATATTCTACTCTTTTTTTAAGCCTCATGGTCAGTGGGAGAGTCACTGCAGCTAGAATAGGGCCTTAATTGAAGATCTAGTCCAGAGGCTCTAGTTAGATATAATTTAGTATCTTCCATAGGAAAGGCACTGTTGCTTAAAGCTAATATTTTTGTGTTTCACAGTAATCAACAGTAGTGTACAGGTGTTCTGCTGAGGTCTAGCAAGCCACAATGGATTATATTGGAGCATTCAAGAAGAGCTCTCTGAATACTGCATCTTTTATTTATATTTGAAAGTTGCTAGTTTCTAACCAATGTTTTATAAAATCATTTCAAATGCAGTCAGATTTACACAGTACAGTCTCCTCTAGTTTTCCATAGCTACTCCCCTCTACACAAATCAAACAAAATAAACCTTTTTACACATTACCAGTTTAGAGAATACAAGCACAGGGGTTTGACATTTGAAACCATAGTACAAGAAGTGTCCTGTATGGTCAGTTCATATCCTAAAGACCATAAAAGATTCAGCAAGCAGCCAACTCAAGGACAAGCTTTATGCTAGCACTAAAAGGAACAAGAACCAAAAATAAAATTGCTATCTGCTATTCAGAAATAGCCTTGTAAAACCATCAGCTGCATTACCTTTAAATTAATGGTTAGTTTCAATACTTGTTTGACAAACCTTGAGCATTACCATGTGTGTCAGTCTATTGTTTTCCTCGGTTGTTTTTCTGCAGACTTCATTCATTTCTTGTAAGGTTTCATTTAATTTGTGTATTTTAAGCTTCAGAGATTTTATAAGCTGCACAAAACAATATTAAAGTTTAAGAAATCCTTGAAAGTTTTAAGGCTATATATACTTAAATGCATGGAGAGGTATTTAAACATTTGAGGGTCTTATTAGTATTCCACAGTAAGAGGCCATTAAAACCCCAGAATGAAAAAGTGGTCCCATGGTAGAACAATGGAATTTTACAAGTGTATCTTAACCACAATAAAGTACAAGCAGCACATATTAGAATTGTTCGATCAGGTGCACTGCAGGAATAAGCAGTTGCCATTCTATTAAAGACAGGAGAGTTGTGACCACTTACACCAACAGTAAGAATGGAAGGAAGGACCACAGACTGCTCCTGGAATAACCTCACAGCTGGGGCAAGGGGCAGTTTAAAGCCTACTTTCTCTCTTCTCCCTCCCCCCCCTTTAACACTGTTCTATTGATTGTGTTTGTGTGTGACTAGTTGTGAACTATCTGAGCAGGAGCACAGTTGAGATAGAGGCCCAACCTGCTAATCAAAATAGGTTTTGAGAATTAGTGCCCCCAGCTGTACTCCACTACAAAACAAACAAACAAAAAAAGCCCCACTATTAAACTAGTTCTCTAAAGGGCTTTGAAGTTATAAATACTTACATTAAAAAAAATCCTTGTGCTCACTATGTTAAATGGGCAAATGTGGGAGGGGAAAACTATGCAAAGTAAGAGCTGAGCCACTGAGTAGGAATGTATGAGAGAAGTGAAGCAGGATAGAAGAGTGGGATTTCCAGGAGAATTAGTAATTCCTTTAGACTGTCCCCACTGCCTGAAGTCCCAGGCTACCATTCCAGCAATAGCTTGCTGCTCCTTTTAGCCATTTTAAATTTGAAATGCTGAACAACTCACAATTAAGCTTTTGCACTAGAAAGCAAGTTTCGTTTTCAGGCCAAAAAGTTGAAATTGGCTTCAGGGCAGAACTTGCTGCTGAGATTCTGGAGACTGGGTATAAGAAGATGAGTGACTAGTCCAGGGACTTTAAATAAATATATTATATACTCAAAATTAGAGCTAGTAAAATATAGAAAGTTTCTCACAAAAGTAAAAATGTCTGGTTTTCAGCAGAAATTGATGAAAATCTCTCTACTATATGAGTATGTTTATTAAAAGCTGGCCAAAGAGATATTTCTCCTTTCCCTAGTGTGCTTTTAATATATATATATAAATAAAAAACACACACACCCCCGACAGCAATAAGCTACTCCAGGGTGTGAATTAGTAAGCGACGGGTACATATGAACGGTTGAAGGAATTCTGCTTTGGGGTTGTGCTTAAACGTATACCAGTAAGCCTAATGCACGCTCTGGATATCACAGCAATGAGCCATTTAATGTCAGACTTCCAGATCTGCACTCCATCCAGAAAATAGCTTTGGCAACCAACCAAGTAGTTGGTTTCACTTCACTGTGACTTTAGTGCTTAAAAAAAAAGGAGGAAGGACTGCTTTTTTAACGGCACTGATCTGAAATTCAGTATCTGGGCTGTTACCCAGCATCCTTGGGCAAATTACTTAGCCTACACCTCTGTTCCTTATCTCTAAAATATGGGGCAATAATTATTTCCTACCTCAAAGGATTGTTGAATAAAGAGTTTGTGAGGCATCCTGATCCTAGGCCAGATTTTTTGCTGATTCTAGTTTCCACCGCATCCCGACTATTAGAGAGCATATGTAATTGTCACTACAAGATGAAATTCAAGCCAGTGATAAGCCAGAATGTAAGAGAGCCCAATTCCCATTTTAGGCACCAAAGAAAACTCAGCATATTGGATAGGAACACTTCTGAAAGCTTTTCCCCAGTTGAGAGAGTTCTATTGCTGAGCACTTGAAGATCTGGCCCTTACAGGCTAGAGCCCTCAATCACCAAAACAATCTCCCACGCATCCAAGTCTAGGACAAGATAGAGAAATTTACCTCATCTTTCTCATCGCACTGTCTCTGCAATACTTCTGAAGTTCTCTGCATCTCCTTATATTTAAGATCTGTATATGACAAAGAGAGAGAGTTAAGCTGTTTTATACTCTACAAGAAGAACATACTGGAAGAATATTAGATGCTTACCTGATTTCACTTTGTCTTCTGCAGTCAATACATCTGAATTTGGGATTCCCAAAGCCAACAATCCATCTGACCGCTCTCCAAATTTTTGTTGCAACTCTAATATTTTCCTATCTCTGTCCTGAACAAAGAAATGCACACTGATATTTGTGTAAAGAGAATATATACCTGTGACTAAAAGGTTGGCCTTTAACCAAGTTTACTACTGTAAATGTTGATCATATTGAACATTGGAAACAGTTGCCAATTGATGGTTTACTTTTAAAGTTAGTCTTACTGAGTCTTCTCTAGAAATGTGTGTCACTCTCTTGCCAAGGCAAATGGGTATTCCACTTAGGAACGTGCATGCTCAGCACGCCAGAGCTGGAGACTTTTGCCTAGCAAAGCTCAGTGGTTTAAGCATTGGCTTGCTAAACCTAGGGTTGAGAGTTCAATCCTTGAGGGGGCCATTTAGGGATCTGGGGCAAAAATCTGTCTGGGGATTGGTCCTGCTTTGCGCAGGAGGTTGGACTAGATGACCTCCTGAGGTCCCTTCCAGCCCTGATATTCGATGATACCTGTAGAGCAGGGGTTCCCAGCCTTTTTCTCTGAGCACCCCTCCCCCACCCCCACACACACCTGCTATAGAAACTCCACAGCCCACCTGTGCCACAACAACTGCTTTTCTACAAATCCAGTAGATTAAGAGCCAGGGCCATCATTATGGGGTAGCAAGCAGGGCAACTGCCCAGGCCCCCACGCCACAGAGGTCCCCATGAAGTTAAGTTGCTTGGGCTTTGGCTTCAGCCCCAGGCAGCAGGGCTCTGACTTCAGCTTTCTGCTGTGGGTCCCAGTGAGTTGAGTTTAGCACTGGCCCTGCTCTCTGGTTTATTTTGGCAGACCCCTGAAACCTGCTCATGGCCCCCCAGGGGACCTATATCCTGGTTAAGAACAGCTGCTGTAGAGGGCTCATGCTCCCACTTCTTGGCTGTAACCCCTCCCCTCACTATGACGTGGCGCTACTCTGACCCCCCTCATTTCCTTTGCACCAAAAGCCACTGACAGGAGACTCTGATGCAGAGGGGCCAGAGCGTAGGTCATGGAATACATGTTTGCATCACATCTCGAAGAACCACAAGTAACAATTTCTTCTGAGTAGGTGCAGATGTGGGGTACTGCTTGTGAGTCACCTATCTAGAGGCCGGGCTCAGAGTCTACTACAATTGGGATCGCAGGACTGCCCTTCTGAGGCCTGTATCCACTTTGGAAGATGTGATCATAGCATAATGGTCTGTAAACATATGTATGGACAACCAGGTGACCGCCCTGCAAATGTCCAGTATGGAAATGCCACTGAGAAATGCTATCTATGTGGCTTGCACTCTTGTGGAGTGAGCCTATATCTGCTGAGGTGTAGCTGAAGCTCTCTCATATAAAAAAAAAACCTCTTTAGTCCTATCTAGCCTTTTATGTAGGCATTGCCTGACATCCAGAGTATGGAGGTGCTATTCTTCTGGGGAAGAGCATGGATTAGGGGAAAAAACCCACAGGTAAATACACTGCCTGATTTAGATGACACAGAAAGCACCTTGGATAAGAACTTTGGGTGAGGTCGCAACATTACCTTGTCCTTGGAAAACAGTGCAAGCTGGCTCAGCCATGAGGGCCTGCAACTCATAGACCCTTCTTACCAAAATAATGGCTGACAGGAGGGGCAGCAGACAGGGTGCAAGAGGCTCAAATAGAGGGCCATACAGAGCTGCTAGAACAATGTTTAAGTCCAAAAAGGGAACCAGTTCTCAGACCAGAGGATGTAAGCAGAGAAGCCTCTTCAGTTTTTTCCAATGCCACAATGACGAGACTTCTGATTTCCCTTGAAATCAGGAGAATGGAATCCTGATATCACTGCCAAATGCACTCTCAGCAAACTGAGCACAAGGCCTGATTTCTGAAGATGTTGCAGTTACTCCAAGATATTCTGGATGGAAGCCCATCGGTTGGGTCCCGAAGGTCAAGGACCATACTGAGAATCTTTTCCACTTGGCTAAGTAGGCTGTCCTAGTGGAGGACTTCCAACTGTTGAGTAGGACTTGCTGGACAGCTGCTGAGCACCGCTCCTCCTCTTCATCCTCCAGCCCATAAGGTGCAGGAAGCGATTGAAGGATTGAGGGTGCAGCCATGGTCCTGAGTGAGCAGGTCAGGATGGAGAGAAACAGTATGGGAGGCTGAGCCAACAGAGCAAGGAGGTCTGAGACCCAGCATTGTACCTGCCACACTGGAGCAATGAGGATGAACTTGACCTGATCCACCTTCAGAGCTTGAGGATGACCTGCAGAATTATCAGAAGGTATACAGAAGAGCTGAATGCCAGCTGCCGTGAAAGAGACTGGAGACGGAGCCTGGACTAAGGCCCCCCCTGGGAGCAGAACAACTGATGACACCTTTGTTTTCCCTCATCGCAAACTGGTCAATCATGGGAATGACCCAGAGAACTCTCCCTCAGCAACCACTCATGGCCTGGCGGGTGGGAGGAGAAAAACAACAACAAAAAACACTCTACTGAGATGGTCCATGAGACAATTTTGCACCCCCAGCAAATGGATTGCTACCGGAGCGATGACTTCTTTGATGCAAAATTGGCACAGGTTGATCACTTTCAGACAGAGTAACCTGGAAAAGCACTTAGTCTTGCTTGTTCACATAGCACATTGCAATAGTTTTGTCATGAGTGTGTGAACCATCAAGTGTCTGATGTGGTCCCAGAAGGCATGACATGCATTGTGGATGGCCCAAAGTTCAACATGCAGATATGGAGTGAGGCTGCACCCTCAGTGAATCTAGATGCACCCCCCAACACAGAAGAGAAGCGTCAGTAACCACTGACTTGGTCGAAGAGGGCTGAGTGAAGGGGACTTCTGGGCACACATTGTGTGGGGACTCCCATGAGTGCAAGGAATCCAGGACTAGTGGAGGAAGACAAACCGTGTCCAGAGAATGCAGGGAAGGACAGTAAACCATCCTGAGCCACATCTGAAGAGGGCAACAATGCAACTTAGCACACTGTGTTCAAGGGGACATGTAGCCCAACAGGCTTGGACACAGGCGGACTATCATAAATGGCTGAGACGGCAAACTGAGGCAGGCCTGCAGAAATGCCTGGAAGTGGTTGGTTGGCAGGAATACCTTTGACCTTGTGTAATCTCAGAGGTCCCAATTAACTATTTGTTGAGTAGAAGTCAAGGTTGACTTTGCTCGACCGTCTGGGACTCATTTTAAACACTGCAAACTAAATGTGACGTCAATGTGGGTAAGAACCTCCTCTCTGGAGCCAGCCTTCAGCAACCAATCATCAAGCTATCAGAAGATGTGGATTCCCTTCCTCCTAAAATATTCCATGATATTGCCATGCATTTGGTGAAAACTCGGGGGGCAGAAGAGAGGCCGAATGGGAGGACCATATACTGAAAGTGGCGGTCTCCTACCACAATGTAGAAACTTCCTGAAGCTCAGCAGAATGTACAGTGTCCTCAAAGTCCAGGGCAGCAAACCAGTGGTTTTGAGACAGTGTGGGAGGATAGCCGATAGAGTGACCATGCAGAATCTCAAGTACTTAATTTGTTGTGGGCACGAAGGTCAAGAATGGGTCACATCCCGCCTTTGGATTTCGGTATAAGGAAGTACCAGGAGTAAAAACACGCAGCTCCAGTGTTCCTATGGAACCTCCGTCGCTCCCAACTTCAAAGAGCTGACCTGCTTGATGAGCAGTGTCTCGTGAGAGGGGTTCCTGAACAGGGACAGGAAAGGAGGGTTGGAGTGGGACATGGAGAGGAACAGGATTGCATAGCTCAATCCAACAGTATCTAGGACACAGCTGTCGGAGGTAATATAGTCCCAAGCATTATTAAAGTGGACCAGTGCTCTGGTCAAAGGAGTCAAAATGGGTGCTTGGTCTGCGCTGAGGGAGGGCATGTGAACTGCCCGAAGCTCAAGCCCAACTGCTTCCTCTTGTGGGATCGATCCCCCTCTCTAGGGTAGTCCTGTTTTAGGAGAAAAGATTGTGCAAAGGAATGCTGCAGGTGACATTGTTGCTGCTGCTGAGCCTCATAATGGTATCTTTGCATGGATGACCTGTTCACTTCCAAGGACCTCAAGGTAGCCCTGAAATTCCTGAAGGAGTGCAAAGTGTCATCAGTCTTGTCTGAGAACAAGACTTTGCAGTCAAAGGGCAAGTCCTTGATGGATATCCAGAATGATTCCAAAGTTCTGCAGCCAGAAAACCTTCCTCAGTTACCGCCAAGGCCATAACCCAAGGTGCCTATAACATCAAGGGCGGGCTGCAGGAATGTTTTGGCCACTAAGCAGCCTTCCACAACAAACATCCGGAACTCCTCATGCAAGGCCTCTGGCAACTGGTCCTCAACTTTAGCCATAACTGATCAATTGAGGAAGTCATATTGGGCCAACAGAGCTCATTGGATTTGCAATCCTCATCTGCAAAGGCGATGAGGTAGAGTGGCTGGATCTTCTAGGCAGGAAGATCTACGAGTCTGTCCTTGAGAGTAGACTTGAACTTTCCTGGCCAGGCCCTGTCATTTACCGCTGTTACAACAAGGGAATTCGGGGCCAGATGGAAAAAGAACCCCTCAAATCCCTGCATGGGAACAAAGTAGCACTTTTCCACACGTTTTGCCACCAGCAGTACTGAGGCCAGTGTACTCCACAGGGCTCTCGTGTGCTCAAGGAGCACATCACTGATCAGGAGGACCACTCTCCTTGGGATGGTGGGCTATAAAATGTTCATCAGTTTGCGTGTGTTCTCTTGGAGGAATGCCGCTTGGATGCCCAGGGGCGTAGTTACATGGGGTAAAGGTCTTGGTACGCCTTAAAAGTTCTCTGGAACAGAAGGAGAGGACAAATTAGGAAGCACAGCATCGTCCGGCCACTGAGAGGGATAGGGTATTGGTGGCCAGGGACCTCTGTCCCGACCATGAGGCACCTGCCAACCTGGGAGCCATACTGATCCATTGGCATCCTCCGGAGTTCACTGGTTGATGTGGAGCAGGAGAACGACAACTGACTCTGAATCAGAGCACCGGGATCTCAGCAACGTGGGCAGAGTTACACCCAAACATTGGTCCAAGTTATCCGTCTCCCAGAACAAGGTGGGAATCTGGGCCCCTGATGAAGGCAGTACAGAGCATGCTGGTGCCACAAGGAGCATTGGTTTCGATGGAAACAGCGGTACCGGAGCATCCAAATGCACCAACGACAAAGGTGGTGAGAGCTGCCATGAGAGCACTTGCAGCATTGAACATGGCAGGGCTGAAGAGAGTGCTAGTGCTGAGGTCCCCCGCACCAATTCCAGTACCAGCTCCATCCCCACCACAGGAAGGACAGCATCTAGATGCAGTGGCCACGGACATAGAGGTGCAGTGGCTCGTTATATTGGAGGTGGCGCAACCCTGGGAAAGTCCTGGACCAACAGTGAGATCAGGATGAAAAGGTAGAGGTGGTATGTGGCGGCCTGGTACACCGACAACGTGGACGAAATTGGTACCGACATCTCCCTTGTTAGTACCAGATTCAACAGATGCCTTAAGACAGGAGCCAGAATCAATTATATTGGGTTTCTGCATTTCCCACCTGGTACCAGGGAAGGGTCAGATGTATCCATGCCATCCTGCCTGCCAGAACTGACCCTGTGCTGGTCTGCACGTTTTCAAGGGGAGGCAAAGGAGTCGCCCCACAACTTGGAGCGGTCCCAAGACCTCTTCCTCAGCACCAACGACAGAACAGCTCCTCTGTCTCTTTGGCAAGGTGGCTGCCCCAGAATGAGTGGCGGCAGTGCTCTGAGCCCAAGGGGGGCCTTGGTACCAGATCATGCCACATGGCCTATTCAAGCAGGTGCTGCTTGAGGCAAAGGTCCCACACCACTTGAGTCCACTTCTGAAACAATATACAAATTGAATAGCGCTCTTAAGGTGTGCCTCACCAAAACAAAGCAAGCAACGTGTGTGGGGATTGCTATTGAGGATCACCCCTCCACACTAAGGATAGTGTTTAAACCCCAGTGAGGGCATCACTGGGGAACACTAAAGTTATCAACTAATACTTATTACAATAAAATAGGTGCGAGATTGTGAGACTTCAACCACAGGTGGTGAGAAGGTGCCATCTCAGATAGCCAGGGAAGGTGCCAGAGCATGAGCGCTACCTTTCTACAGGTAATGCTAGGCAAAAAGCTCAGGCATGCTGGATGTGTACACACCTAAGTGGAATACACATCTGCATCTACTTGAAGATTATGTAATTTAGTGTAGGATACAGCTACTAAAAGATTCAAGTATTGAGTATAGACTCAAGAGCCTTTTGGGTTTTATTAAAAATTTTGATTTCTCACCACAAAACTACCAATCTCCTGACCATCAACTGCTTCCCTATGAATCTTCAGAATTAAGAACTTCTATGAGGGCTATCCCTCTCACTCACCATGTCTCCACTCTGCTTTTCCTCCACAGAAACTTCCCCTCAAAGATTGAAGTCTTGCTCCCACCCTCTAGACACCTCCTTGCAAGTCGTGGGATCCCATCTTAGCTCCTGGCTTCTATGCAGTCAGTCTCATACCGGCAATCCTTTGCGTTGCTACCATCCTCCTCCAGTCATTCTAGGTCTTTCCTCCTGACACAGCTTTGATCAAATCCACATTCCCTCCAGTTAACACACACACAAAACTGATGTCTGGGTGGAGTGTGTAGGTAGTGCTTCCACACACAAAAGAGCTCATTGGTGTTAGCCACGCAGAATGTGTCTACACGGCAATAGTACACCCACAGCTGGCCTGTGTCAACTAACTCAGGCTTGTGGGGTCTGGGCTGCGGGGCTAGAAAACTGTAGTGCAGACATTCAGGCTCAGGCTGGAGGGTCCCAAAGCCCAAGCTCCAGCTGGAATGTCTACACTACAATTTTATAGCCCCACAGTCCAAATCTGCCAACATGGGCAAGCCGCAGGTGTTTTATTGCAGTTTAGACATACCCACAGCCAGAGTTCCCAGAGAAGCTATTAGCATAGAAACAGTGTCAGAAGGAGCCTGTGACACCCTACTAGCACAATAGGACCATGTATTCACAGCATAAATGAGTTGAACAACCTCGAAGAAGTTATTTTGGTGGCTTAGTTTACAATGTTACAGTTAGAGGGAGAATTCCTGGAGGATACCTTTAAGGAAAGGCAATGTTACATAGGCTGACAATTTAAAGGACACTACACGGTAATTTAAAAAAAAAAAACAACAACAACACACAAATGAAGTCTACCTCAACTTTCTCTTGTTCAACTACGAACTCTTCTATTGGAACATAGTGGTCTTCAATTTGTTTCATTGCACACATATATGCATGTTTCTTTATAGCTTCCTTATACATTTCAAATTTATTCTCCAATTTTTCCTCATAACTTTCTCTCATATCTTCCAAGCGTTTACTGACAATGATAAATAAATCAAGTTAGCTTGCTTGAGTGCTACATTTACACAATTTTACAAGAGTCGAAGTGTTAATATTTCAAAACTACACGTGAAACCTAGAAAGAGTTGGACAAAGATTCAAAGTAAATAAAAATTAAGAGGTTAAGTGGGAGACTAGCAGAAGAAATGTCCAGTACTCTAAGTTCTACTTTTTAAGCTTGCAGTAATTTCACTTAGTCCTTTAGTCAGTCTTGTCAAATTCTATTTTTCAGTATCAGAAAAATAATTCTAGTTATCTATAGTACTAGAACATTGTAAGTTAAGTAACAGAGAAATCAAGAGAAGCCAAAAATTGTTGTTTCTGGCTCCTTTACTGTCTAGATATTAATGCTAGCAAGGACTTTTTCTGAGCTACTTACAATGATGCTATAATGCAAGTCTATGGGACAACTATATATGCAACAGGAAGTGTTATGTGCATATTTAATGCTGCAAGTCTGTCAAGTTTGGTTGGTCTAGTTTTCTATACTACTTTGGTTTGGCAACAGATATTTGCCAGTCCAGGAAAGCTAAAAACATGTTATATGTCACTGCTTTGATCTATCATTCAGCTGATGCAGTCACAGTACACCAACTGGCAACACTGAAAAAGGCTCAGAGGTATTTATATGGTCCCCATTATGGTGAGGCACTCAAATACTGCAATCTTTAGTGGATTTATACTCTCACCACCACAGAGGTTGGGAAGTGCTATTATCCCCCATTATACAGTTGCAGAACTGAAGCACAGCAAGCCTAAAGTCACACAGAAAGCCAGTGGAGGAGAAGGCAATCGAACCTGTGGCTCCCAATCTTGAGCTAGCACTCTAAATACTGGACCATCCCTCCTCTCCTTAATATCCAAGCTCAAACCCATTTGAGATTGAACTCCTATGAATTTGATGCACTTTTAAACTTGAGCCCATCTACAATTTAGGTCTTATTTTGGCATATAAGTGCAGTTTGAGGAACCAGCATAAGCTATACTGGTACAAGCAGTGGTGAGTTGGAGCCAGTTCGCACCGGTTCATGGGTTGTTAAATTTAGAAGCCCTTTTAGAACCGGTTGTCCAGAGTGAGACAACTGGTTCTAAAAGGGCTTTTAAATGGGGCAGGTGTCGGGGGG